GTGTGTTATTGTGAGTTGCTTTATATGAGGCATATAAAGCATATAAATTGCCTAATTTCATGTATGCCTTACTTTTAGGGATTTAATTGATACGGTTCATAAAAATTGGCAAAAAAGAACCCAAAAAAACAATTGGGATTATTTTATGGCTCGGACTGGACCCTTTTTATCAATTAATTAATTATATATGGTTCAAACCTTTCTATAAATGCATGAGATACAATTGCTTTGATTACGAACTTAAAAAAGTATTTGGTAAATCATTTCCCGAATAAGGACGTGATTTTGAATATTATATACCCCTTCCTTTGTAATTTTTTTTTTATATAAGTTCCCTAGATTAATGTACTCATAATAATTTGTGGGATTTCAAATTGCGAGTTTCCCATTGTTGTTTAGTATTGCTTAATTGTTTTATAATGGAGTGGAATGGGCTGAATTAGGGTTTGCGTTGGTGTTGGTTTGTTTAAGTAATTAAATGTTACTTAAATAGATATTTCCGTGTTTTATTTTATTTATTTCCCTAGATTAATGTACGCAGAGTAATAACTTTTGTTTCTAGATTTATGTACCAAGAGTAAGGGCTGGTTTGGGGTTGCTTAACTTAAAAAATAAGCAGCTTTAAAAAAAGTTTTGGGGATTTGGGTGTTTGGTAAATCAAATCCAAACTGCTTATTTAATAATTTGCTGTCATTCAAAGCTGAAAAACAGAAGTAGGTGGGGAGCTGCTTCTGAAATCTGCTGCCAGGAGAAGCATGCGGAGGCTTTAATGAAACTTTCAAAATGCCTATACTGCCCTAATCTATTTTAACAAATGACACGCTATATCCCATCTTTTTCTTGATCAAACCCTACGAAGCTCATATCGCACTCTCCAATCCTTGCAGCCGTTCCACAAGTTTTCTGGAGTTGTCTCAGCAAGATGGGCTCTCTCAAATCTGTTCACTGAAGCTGCGTTACAGGTATCTTCCATGTCCTCCTGAGTATCTTTATTCTTCTTGGGTATCTCTATCTTTCATATCCTCTTGGTAAAACCTTTCTGGAATTTGGGGTTTCTGTGTAAAACCTCTCTCTCTGTTATTTGATGGAATTTGGGGGTTTATGCGAACTAGAGATTGAAGATGTTTGAGTCTGCATATTTATTATTTTAGTCCCTTTCCTTTCTTTGTCATTTTTCTGATTATTGCGATTGTTGTTTATATTATATTGGGTTTGAAGGGCCCTTGATCAAGACTTTATGAAACTTTATAGCCTCACAATTTTGACCAAAAATACTTTATAGCCTTCGACAATGATAGCATGGTGATATTCTTTTTTGGGTGACAAATTTGAATGATAAGTGAGGGAGAGGTAGGCACAACACACGGCATAGAGATTTCTCTATTGTAATGATAAGTGAGGGAGAGGTAGGCACAACACACGGCAGCTGGAATATCTTTTATTACACTTTACAGTACATAATCATACAAACAAATATTACATATTAATTTAATATCAACTAGGACACTATTTCTTTAAGTATTGCAGTAGCTTTGATGATTGATATTTGTTGTTTGGCACTTTTTTAAAAGTAAGGATGAGGAAGAATGTGGGAAGTTCATCTCGAGCTACAGCTACTTGGAATAGCCATAATATAGTCATATTCTGTGATTTATGCATCAAGGAGGTGGAGGCAGGACGTCGTCCTGGCACTCACTTTAACAAAGATGGATGGGAAAACTTGAAGCTAAATTTTAAAATCTATTTTAACAAATGACACGCTATATCCCATCTTTTTCTTGATCAAACCCTACGAAGCTCATATCGCACTCTCCAATCCTTGCAGCCGTTCCACAAGTTTTCTGGAGTTGTCTCAGCAAGATGGGCTCTCTCAAATCTGTTCACTGAAGCTGCGTTACAGGTATCTTCCATGTCCTCCTGAGTATCTTTATTCTTCTTGGGTATCTCTATCTTTCATATCCTCTTGGTAAAACCTTTCAGGAATTTGGGGTTTCTGTGTAAAACCTTTCTCTGGAATTTGGAATTTGGGCAAAACCTTTCATATCTTTGCTTTTGTTTTCTGGTTTCTGTGTAAAACCTTTCTCTGGAATTAGGAATTTGGGCAAAACCTTTCATATCTTTGCTTTTGTTTTCTGGAATTTGGGGTTTCTGTGTAAAACCTCTCTCTCTGTTATTTGATGGAATTTGGGGGTTTATGCGAACTAGAGATTGAAGATGTTTGAGTCTGATATTTATTATTTTAGTCCCTTTCTTTCTTTGTCATTTTCTGATTATTGCGATTGTTGTCTTATATTATATTGGGTTTGAAGGGCCCTTGATCAAGACTTTATGAAACTTTATAGCCTCACAATTTTGACCAAAAATACTTTATAGCCTTCGACAATGATAGCATGGTGATATTCTTTTTTGGGTGACAAATTTGAATGACACTCACAGCACTTTTACAAATACGAATTACCAAACACCTAGCCGCTTCTCTTCACAGCTGTTTATTCTCGCAGCACAGCAGAAGCAGTTTTTTTAAAAAGCACAGCAATTCCAAACTAAGCCTAATTTGGGTAAGATGGCAAAATGGGGTGAAATTTAAAATCATAATGTCAGAATTACCATCAATAGATTAAATAACTTATGGGAATTTTTCACCCAACTTAATTGCACCACACTAGAATAAATATATAATACTAAAAAGGGGTTATGCGTGTCATCAAAGCCATTAATTGTTCTATAATGGTCACGATAAGGAGAAGAATTCAGATTGGGTGAGGGGGGGTGTATTAGGGTTGGTGCCGGTTTGTTTAAGTAATTAAAAGGTATCCAACCAAAACAAAAAGTAATTAAAAGGTTAATTACATAGATATTTCCGCATGTTTGGTGGTAGAAATTAACAAGTGAGGAGACCCTTTTTACTCTGTTGTTGGCATATTTATCGGGTCAACTTGCAACCGATTCTCAATCACGTTTTTATCTCTAGCAAACCAACTAGGTTACGCATCTTCTTTCTATTTTATGTCGGTGAACGTTTGGAGAAAGAAAAAAACTAGCATCGTTAAGAGCAAAGTTTAGGCCATAACTTAAGCCATCATAACAAACAAGAAGACAATAAAGTTGAAATATGGAGAAATTGGTGCAGACCAATAACTTATTGGGCCTCTCCAGCATGTTCCTCAAGAATTTCAAAGAACATTGAGGTCCCACCATTAAACGGTGCCCATTTGATTATGGTTTGAAATTTGAAATCTGAAATTTATTTAAAATTTGAAATTGATAATAAATATCGACATGTGGCAACCGAAAATATTATTTGAAAAATTGTTTCGAATTATGAGATATGAATTTTATAATATATATTGACACGTAGGAATCCAAAATCTTATCCGAAAATATTTCTCCAAACTAATTGTTTAGGTTTTTTAAATTTAAAAAAAAAAACCGAAAAAGTGAATAGTATTTGCCATTTGCCATGGCAATGAGTGGAAACACACCTTGCCTCCCCTTGTCCTTTGCCATGACAAATGGTTGGATGTGCTACTAGGGTGGAGGTGCTCTAATCGAAAGTGCAAATCTAAAATACTTAATATGGTGGAGGATGGGAGTTAAAGTTGTCATAAGAACTGTGGATATCTTTTAATATAAGAAGTTGAGAAGAAAAGAAAATATAGGTCAATTGACTTCGATCACAATGCAAAGAAAGCTATATAATTAACAAAAGAGATTTTTTATTTAAACCCCACACTTCTCTTAGTTCACCCCAATACTTAAATCATTAAGCTGTAAGTTTTATTATTATGTAAAAAGACAAAAAAGGTCATCCAACCCTAATATTATTATGTAAAATACCATCTGGTTACACCTTCTTCCCTGTTTATCAGGTCCACATCATCTGATCTGTTACTAATTGTATTGCAATGTGCTGTTAATAATACTGAGGTGTCTGGATTTTAGTGTCTTAATCAATCTGTCATATTAGTTATTGTTAGTAGGATGAGTGGTGATAATATATTATTTAAAAAGCAGAAAAGTCTAGCCCGCATGCACAGTTGAGGATGGCTGCAATCATGGAGTTCACTAGGTAGGCAGATCTCCAGTATTATACGGAGCTCTGTATAATTTGTTTCGTGTGTGTTTGTTTAATTCATGGATTTTTATATTTGCAGTTTATGTATTTGGTTTTCTTATTCTATGACGGAGCTATGTATTATGATTTTGTTTCGATGTTACAATTGAGCTAGAGGAAGTGAAACAATGAATCAACCCAAAGTAAGTGCCTAAAGCTTCAGTACATAGAGGAAGTGAAACAATGAATCAACACAAGGTAGCTTGTGGGGTGAAAATAGAAAATCTCTTTTATTTCTTATGTTTTCAGCATGGGGTGTATTTAAGGGTAGTTTGGGAAGATAGTGGGGTTTTCTTAGAAATTGTGAAATTTTAAATTAAACGTTGGGGTGAACTTAGAACATGGGGTGAACTAAGAGAAGTGTGGGGTTTAAATAGAAAATCTCTTAACAAAATGGGGAAAAAGGTTAACCAATTTGTAAGATGGTTTAATCCCATTATTGTTTGCGATGACCGTGAAATGAGGTTTAATCAGTGGCGAGCACTGGCTTAGAACGACTATTCAAAAATTAAGAAATTATTTAATGCAAACAAATAACCCACCTTGAAAACATGTAATTTGAATAATTTAACTGAAACGAACTCATTCTTAGTTCAATAGTATTTTCTCAATATTATGAGAGCAGTTGCAGCCCTTTGTCAACGAAGATGGCAGCCAATTTGAAGTCTTAATAGCATGGTGCGCTCACCGAGTTTGGGTCATGAATATGGAAAGTAATTATATCACAATTTTGACTTGTACATTAATTCGAATTTGAAATTGTGGTTTAGAAAATGTATGGTAGAAAAACTAATTATATAAAATGAGTACATATCCAGCTTATTCAGCCATGCCAAAACACAAAACATATGTCAAATACTAGAGCTACAAGAGCACAAGTAGGAGCTTCAACGAAACATAAAATGGTTTGAAAAATAAAAAGAAAATCTTCAAATCGCAAACTAACAATAAAAACAAGACACAAAAGGAGCTTTTCACTGTCGACTAGTTGGCACAACCCACATTGCTGGTCGCGTGGTCCTCCCCAACAGGGCCATAGCAGTTGTCGTGTAAGGCTTTGAAATGCTTTGAGTTTTGATGTTATAGACACCAAAATCTTCAGGTCCCCAATTAGCAGGATGCCAATCCGAGTTGAAATATATGCAATTAGGCTGACATCCTGGAAATTTTGAAGCCACAACAAACACAGAAGAATTATTACCCAAGAAAAGAGCAGCATCATCCAAGGTTTCTTTCTCAATCCACTCGTGCTTATCAAAATTCAGTTCGAAGATTTCAAATTTATATGTGACAGCCTTCCCGTCTAGCACATTGCCTTCCCAGTTTGCATGCCTTTTCACAATCAAAAGCCCTTTCTCATTGGAATTCAAAAGATATGTCTTGGACGACATTCGTAAACTGTTCTTTACCTCTTCACTAAAGTTTTTGCACTTTATTTCGGATTCACTAGTAATGTCGAAGCTTAAAAGTCTACCACGTTGATTAACAGCATAAACTTTATCTCCAATGTGAACAACTTCTTCAACTAATGGAAATTGCAATCCCCTGTCATCAATATACGTCCAATTTGTGTCTTGGCCAAGTCTAATAAAGGCAAAATGATCATGATCTCCGTATATGACTGTAACAATGCAACTATCTGCATTTAAAATTGGATATGTTGAAATTGTAGCCTTACACAGACAATGATTAAGATCTTTAAAAGATTGATCAGGATGCATCAGTGGAGGAAGGCTAATGATTGAATTTTCTTTCTCTTTACATCCCTTAACCCTAGAGAACGGATTCATTAAGGTCACCGCGTAGTTCTCTTCCACAACTACTAGCCATCCTTTGGAAGACCCACTGAATCGCTTATTCGACAATCTTAATCGCAAATCAAGAACCTTATCATTCGTGACGTCGTATAACTTCCATGTATCTTTTTTATCACTAGAAATTAAGAGCATTGGACCTGCTTGGCTACAATTATTCTTTGCTACACTGTTCCATGACTTACAAACGACGCTAAATGCCAAATAGTCTGATTGTAACTCTAATCTCTCAAAAATTAGATCTAGTAAGTCCTTAGGCAAGTTTTCCCAATCTGACAAGACAAACGGGAAAATTGAATTAGAGAGATGTCTATATTCTTGACAAATAACAATAATAGATATTTATAAAAATACCCAATCCTAGACATGTATTTATAAAAATACCCAAGCACTATTTAAACATAGAAACATACCCAAAATGGGTTTTGGGTATGTGTGTAATGATGGGTTTTGGGTATGTTTATAAATGGGTTTTGAGTGTGTGTAATGATGAGTTTTGGGTATGTTTATAAAGTGTTTTGGGTGTTGGGTATTTTTATAATTTCAGCCCCCATTTTGGGTATTTTAGTAAAACTCCCTAAAAATAAATATAGAAACTAAAGATTTTTTTGTGAAACACTAAAAAGGCAAACAAACAAAACTGAATGAATCATCTGCAATATAGAACCAAAACATAGATCCCTTGTTTTTTTGTTTGATGGACAAAAGAAAAGAGGTGAAGAGGTGTGTCTTTACTAAAAGATATTGAAGATCGGGATACACAAGTAACAAAGCAAAAACTAAAAATAGTAATAAATAAAAACTGTTAAGTTGCACAACCATGGAAGAAAAACAAACCCTGAACTCAAAAAGAGAATTAGAATTCTGAAGCAGATCTAAAAGGATTTATCTAAGTCTGAAAGTAATACCAGATTGAACCAGAACTGAAAAAAACTCAGCCTGTAATTCAAGAACTAAACCCTAAACTTTTCTCCTCTATTCTCCTAAATAATTTTGGTGCACCTAAGAAATTAAACCCTGTTATCTAGGATTTGAAAAAAAATTCTTATTTTCCATTCTTTAATTTGGCTCGTAAGGTTTTTTCTGAGAAATTAATTTTCTACGGAACACACAAGTAGAATTCATCACTTTTTTTTATCGTCTACTTTATCTAGAAATATTTTCAATATCGAGATTCAAGATGCAATATATACGAGACTGAATTTAGAGTTCATGAAAAATTCCTTTGTGAAAAATCAGGAACTATTACTAGTTCCAAAGCAATACATACAATAAAACCAACAATAACAACTTGGAATATTAATACTGCGAAAATTTAGATTAAAAGAAAGGTATAACTAATAGAAAAACGACAATAATTTCTGGGAAAAAAACATACCTGAATCCATAGCCTTCAAGACCATAAGAAAAAGTTTGTATTTGTGTTTAATTTTGGTGAGAAAACGTGCAAGAATATTGAAGACTGAAAATTGAAAATTTTATCTCGTTATATATTGATAACTGATGCATGGTTTATTCCATGAAAGAATAGGATTACTCTCCAATTAGATTTAGGAGGACACGGGGATCCGGATCCAGGAAACAGATTACCCTTTTCTCTATGGAATACATGTTAGAAAATTAAAAGATAAATATTTAATTTTTTAATTGTGAATGGAAATTAATTATGGAACTAATTGGAGTAATTTTTGTATATGCCGGGGTGGTGTACCATCCAATTCACATGGAACATGTGGATTTATTCTTCAATACACGTAGGACATAAAAATAAAATATTTTCACATGTCCCATGTGTATTGGATGGCATATATCACCACGTAGTGTACCCGGAACATGATCCCTTAAAAAATGAATAAAAATTCTGAATTTTGATAATTTAATCAAGTAATTTGCAATTTGTAATTTTTTATTTTATTGTTTCATATAAAAATAGTGATTATATTTTGCCTCTTGTATGTACGAAGATTGAGAAAGAAAAATTTTAAATTTTTTTAAAATGAGAACAATAAAGAAAAGGAAGAAGAAACAAAGAAACGGGTTGGTGGCTTGGTGGATATTATATGTGTTGACATGACACGTTTAATAAACGGATTACATCGTATTTTAGCGGGTTGGGACGTTGACTTGGAACCCACCCGAGTTATGGAGGATTTACTCGAAAATGACCTAAAATTTTGATGGTTCAAATTGAACCGTTAATTCTCCATGTGGGGTTCAAATCGTGTACAATGTATCAGGTTGTATAAAAAATTACCAACCTATCAAACCCAGCTATATAAATCAACTTGTAAAAGATGCATCCTTTGGTAACTTTTTATATAATAAAATACTAGCCCCTTGGCACATGCTTTTCTTTTTATTTTTTATTTTATTTTTAGAATTAAGAAAAGATAACATGAATAGTTATGTTCCATAAAAGTATGACCTATTATCTTATTTTGTTTTTAATTTTAATTTTTTTAAATATGAAAAAAAATGTGAATTTACCATATTATCCTCATTTAGTTAATAATTTCAATTCTTAATGTTTGAATTAACTAAGGGTATTTTCTGGTATTTTGAATGTTTCACCAATCTCGACCTTTTGCTTTATATATAGATTAGCATCTCTGCACATACGGAAGAGAGACTTTTTTTTAGTCATGCACGCTACGCAAGCCTTATAGAACTTTTTATTTTTATAATCTACACATGGGATAACTTTTTCACGTGTCATTATGTTATTGGTTGGAGATAGAAAAATAATGCTACATTCCATTAAAATTGCGACATGTGGATATTAATATATTTCTCCAAAACGACGTTTACTTCCTCCAAAACCTCCGTCTATTCCTTTCTTCATGTGCTCAAAATACATTTTCTGAAATATTGAGACTGTCGGAAATTCGCGAACTATAATTGGAAATCACTATACGAATTTGCAACTTCTATCTACAAGGATGTAGTATTTTGCTCTAATGGTTTACCCATGAATACATCCACTGGTAGACCCAATACATGCCTATTATGGGCAGCTGCCCACACTTAGGTGGTTTCTTCACCCATCTAGCCAAACACTTTGCCAATAAAAATAAGACACTTGGCTAATATTTTGCATGCAAAATCCCCACTCATCACCCTACATAAGTAAAGCCTTTAAGGTCTTAGCCCAAAACCTCTCATACATTGAAATTATCAAGGCCCAAGACTTAACAAACATGTGGTCCAATATATACAGCCTTAGATTTTGGCCCAATATCATATATTAAAAAATTATTAAAATAGATTATGTGTTATAATATATATCGTATTGCTATGAAAACCTAGACTTTGTAGGAGTCAGCTATGAAATTGTTTTTTTATGCCCCAGATGGAAAAAAGTCTGGGTCTGCCACTGAATACATCATGTGAGTTTGGTGCACCCATGACCCATCAAAGATCGAAGTGTTGAGAAGGCGAGAGATTTATACAAAATTTATAGAGTACATCAATTAATTAGAGATCTATGCATAATTTGAAGAACTCTGCCCTGCGAGTTCATTATCCACAATTTGGTCCACTACATTAACATTTCATGCAAATTCATTACTCAATAATGGGTTGGAAAACACCATCTCTTGAAAAAAGAGAGAATAAAAACCCAATAAATTCGTGCAATTTTCATTGATAATTTGCTCTGCAACCCAAATCCATGAAGCTTCATGAAGTTCCGGAATGGTTGTCCTAGAAACAGTTCTCAAATAAATAACTGTTGAAAACAATACGCTGGCTTCATATGGGTTTACACAGATTTACGGTTCGTTTTGCTTCTTACTCTTTTTTCTTGCTTTAGTCACCGAATTCAAATTTCAAACTTCCAAATTCAAAATTTCAGAGAAATATATTAATATCTACGTGTCGCAAGTTTAATGGAATGTAGTACTATGGTATATATTAATACCACCTCGTGATATTTTCATTCAAAATTTACGACATGTTATATTATTATAATAATTAAAAAAACTCTTTATACAGCTCGATTTAATAATCCATTTTTACATTTTCAACTTAAAAAATAAAAGAACTGGAAAAAGAAAAGGAAAAAAGGAGCAGCCATAATTAACAACCACCTTCCTCGCAGAAAATGCTCTCCAACCTCACTGCTTGCCATGGATGTTGCTCATCTTTGTTTATTCCCATTTTAAAATTAAAAAACATAATGATTAGTTGTGTTCCATAAAAATAGGATTATTTTAATTTTAATTTTTTTAATATAAAAAGTGTTAATTTACCATATTATCCTCATTAATTAATAATTTCAGTTCTTATCGTTTGCATTAAACAAGGGCATTGTCTGGTATTTTAAATGTTTTACCATTATCTGTCTTTTGCTTTATATATACTAGCCTCTCTGCACGCGCTTCCGCGCCTGCGAGAGGCTTTTTTTAATTATTTATTTATAAATTTAAAATTTATTTTAGAATTAAAAAAATAATGGGTAGTTGTGTTCCATAAAAATATGATACATTATCTGATTTTTCTTTTAATTTTAATTTTTTTAAATATGAAAAAGTGTGAATTTACTATATTATCCTTATTTAATTAATAATTTTAATTCTTAATGTTTGAATTAATCAAGGGCATTTTCTGATATTTTAAATGTTTCACCATTCTCTGCCTTTTATTATATNNNGACGCAGTGTATTTTGTACTACCCCTCTCTGTTTTCCTGCCTGTTTACAATAGGATCCGCACGATAATAACGTGCGGACATCCGGATAAGAGAATAACTGTATATATATATATATATAATAATTTTATGTGTTTTTTATATTAGCACTAATTATTCAGTTGGTCCCCCATAGAACATGCATTCCTATTCTATAGACACCTTTTTTTGTGTCAAATTTGCTTTCGTAGGTAAGATTCCAGATCTAACACGCCACAAAAAAATCTTAACTCTGGCTGGCACGATGGCTTTCCAAATTAGAGACCAATTCCTAGCGACTGCATCCGGATTCGAGAAGGATGCCCCGCGGGTGCTTGAAATCTAAGTACCTGTGCTAGATTTTTAGAATCAACGACTCATTTTTTTTCTTTGCGAAATGATTAACTCAAACACTCAATTGGGTGATCACCATGTATGAAAGTTGCTTTAATTATCACTATATCTATATATATATAAAGCAAAAGGCACAGAAAGGTAAAACATTCAAAATACCAAAAAATGCCCTTGGTTAATATAAATATTAAGAATTGAAATTATTAATTAAATTAAGATAATATGGTAAATTCACACTTTTTCATTTAAAAAAATTAAAATTAAAAAAAAAATCAGATAATGTATCCTATTTTTATGGAACACAACTACCCATTATCTTTTTTAATTCTAAAATAAATTTTAAAAATTTTAAAAAAAGCCTCTCGCAGGCGCGGGAGCGCATAGTATATATAAAGCAAAAGGCAGAGAATGGTGAAACATTCAAAATACCAAAAAATGTCCTTAGTTAATGCAAATATTAAGAATTGAAATTATTAATTAAATGAGAATAATATGGTAAATTCATACTTTTTCATATTTGAAAAAATTAAAATTAAAAGAAAAATAAGATAATGGATCGTATTTTTATGGAACACAACTACCCATTATCTTTTTTAATTCTAAAATAAATTTAAAATTTTTTGAAAAAAACCTCTCGCATGCGCGGAAGCGCGTGCAGAGAGGCTAGTATATATAAAACTCGTTACTATTCAATTAATATCAAAACTACGGTTAGAAAATACAGCAATTTATTGGATTGGGTTGGGGGCACATCCTAGTTATCATTTTTTCATTTAATGCTCGTATTATGCATGTACATACGTATTTTTAATATATTTCATTTTTCATACTCATATTAAAAGCTTGGTAAAACACACGTTTAAAAAAAATGAAAATACAATACACATACATACATATTTTTAACGTTTAATACACATATATAAATCAAATTTATATTTGAATTAAACTCAAAATTACCATATATATACTAGCCGATGACCGCACGCTTTATTGTCCACGCATGACTTTTATGTCCATGCAGAAGGGGGCAGGTTTCAGTTTCACCATGTGGCTCGTGGCTTTTAGTACTTGGATGGAAGTTATTCTGCTTCGTTGAGAGATGAGAGCAGGTCAGATTTTTTGAACGACTGACTATTATTTTATCTGCTTGCTCACAGCTTTAATGGCTTCCCCTAAAATAAGCCCTTAAAATCTTGACCAACCCACGACTGATATGAAACCATCATTCAATTCAATCTTGTCGTCGTTCAACACTTTGTCCGTGAAATATTATTTCATCAATAAAAAATATAGATCAATGGTATTGGTACATCAATCTCTCTATCTCATACACTGACAAACGGATTGAATATAATTGAAGGGGAGAGAGAGATGCATCATGCATGCATGGCAATGGCAATGGCAATGACAATGGCAATGGCAATGGCATGGCAATGACAATGGCAATGGCAATGGCAATGGCATGGCCAACAGACACATCATTT